TGATGTGAAGCGCAACGAATAAAAAAAAAAGTTTTTGCAGCAAAAAAAAAAAAGTTGCTTTCATGAAATCTACGTTGTTATGAAGGTCGAACAAATGACACATAGTATGGTATGGCGAATAATCTACTCTTTAAATTCATTTCTTTGCATTTTAGTTTTTTTCAACTTGTGGTATATATTTGCTCATTTTGCAACTGTTTTGTACAATTTACAGTGTGGTTGGAAACTTTTTTTTTTTGGAAACGGCCGAAAATTCATGCGCGTGTGGATGTCATCCATATAATCAAATCAACATGGCCTAACAGTTAAATGAAAACCATTCTGAGCATGACACTTTGTAGCGGCTGCAACTTACAACAGACATTACTAACTATTACTGGTACAAGAACAGTCTGATAAAACTTCAAGCCAGTTTAATAAAAGCCATAGCAAGTATAACACTAGTAGCCTCGTTCCACTGATCTGACTCCTTCCCGTTTCCCACAGAAAACCGGTAATGCCGTCCGTGCCATGAGTCGCCTAGCGTCCCTCGGTCGCCTGGCCTCGCTTGGCGGGAAGCGCACGGCCAAGGGCACCGGCGGATTCCTCTCCAAGGTCAAGCAGCAGCTGGCCAAGGAGGAGGAACAGCCCAAGGTTAAGGAGGAACCCAAGGAGGAGCCGAGGTTTCTTAAGAAGATCAACGACCTTCAGGTCACAGAGGGCGAGTCGGCCATGTTTGTTTGCAAGGTCGGCGGGTTGCCGGAACCCGAGGTCACGTGGTACCGCGACGGCGACCGTATCCATAGCAACAAGGACTACCAGATGCAGCGGACGCCTGACGGGGGATTCTCGCTCCTGGTCGTCAGGGCAACGGAGGAGGACGACGCGGAGTACGAGTGTCGCGCGGAGAACGACGTCGGGAAGGCCACGTGCCGGGCGGAACTGTTGGTGGAGTTGCCAGGTAGCAAGTAAACAAACTGCTGCATGCTGGGTAACGCATGGCCTGCTGCCCAGAAATGGAACCTTTTTTCGAAACTACGGAATGTGCAGATGCGTTTGACTACGTTAGATCTGCCAACTTGTGGATGGATGCAGCAAATACACAACTTTTAGGATTCCTTACCGTTATTTATGGGAGGAATCACTGAATATTACTGGAAGATTTGAAACTTCCTGAGCCTTGTGACTGATTGCACAGACGTCTGTAACTACTGTAGATCTGCTAATTTGTGGATGATGGCAGAAATACAACTTTAGGATCCTTACTGTAAGTCTGCAAATGTATGGAAGGATGCTGAATGAACCATATATCAAAGTCTGCAACGTTACTGGAAGATTTCTTCAGCTGCAGCCTTTTGACTGACTTGGGTTGCAAACTTGTGAGAGAGACAAAAACTGCACGAGACTTTTTCTTCCGGAAAGGCTTGATTCCTGAAGATTACCCATAATTCTGTGACATCATAACTGTTGCATTGTGGGAAATGCATGCTACTGCAAACTTGTCTGTTTTTTACCACTACCATATACTATGATATGTAGATGGTCAATCTCAATTTGTGCTACTTGTGAGAGAATGTACACAAAAGGTCTCTTAAGGGATTCAGGAAATTAGTCATGATGATATCTTAAAATAGTATAATCTTCACTTTTATTTTACAACAAACTGTTTAACAGTGGAAAAGTCGTGTTTCCTGTTGGAAACATTGAGAGTTTGCAAACTTGGAGGAAGCAGAAGAAAATATCCACCTTCCCTTTAATTGTAGACTTCTTTCAAAGACAAGTCAAACCATTATAGAACTACATTTCACTCCACAGAAACCTTTTTTCATCCTTAACAAATCAAACTTAACAGGTTTCAGTGAGTGCAGATGATTGGATCAAGGTGAACTAGTGTGAAGATTGTTAAGTGCTGGTTACAAAATTTTTTATAACAATTTCTGTTGCTTTACTTTTGGAGGATCATGAGGCATACTTCAAATATCTTTGCCAAGGTAGGTTATGTGGAACTTATATAAAAAATGAAAATAATCAATGATAATAATAATGTTTAATTTTTACATTTTTAATTAATTATAAAAAAAACTCTTGCCAAAATATAAAGGGACATGCTTTTTTTGCCGTCCTCTTTCAAATAAACAAAAAATATGCGAACCAAGCTGGTAACCTCTGTTATGGAGCAAATGTCAACATCACAAAGGCTATAAGACCGAGGAGGTTTTATCAAAACCTTGATATTTTTTTCTTTTTTCATCTCACATTACTTGTAAATAAATACGTTGCTGGCTCTATTGGTGTTCAACGTGACGATTATGTGGTCATTTTCTTGTGATTTTATTTTTCTTGAATGTTTACCTACATGTAGAAGTACATACCATTGCACATGCATGTTAACTTTTCCCGCCAAAAAATGCACCGGAACGCAGCGCTCCTTGCGGACATTTTGTGAAGTGCATCCTTTAAGTTTACATTTAGCAAGCGATTGGTGAACAGTTATGACTTTGACTTTATTGGGATCCACATTTAGCTTACAACAAATGTAGCTATTCTTCCTGTGGTCCTTTTCAGTAACAGTAACGGCCAAGATCTATTCAGATGTTTATTTGCTACATATGGATACCTTTAAACTCTTAGCTTTGAAGTTTAACAGTTATACCTTTCTCGAAATATTTTTCTGATGGGCAAAACATAGTCTGTCCTTTGCCAATAGCTGTAGGCAGTACACAATACATCCACGACGTGTTTGCCATTGTTTTATCATAAGTAAATAGAAAGGAAACTCGTACTGGGGTGTTAGTCAACCGTACTGTCCCTATCTGACACCCCATACACCCCAACAACAACAACGGCGTCTCAGGACCAGTTAGGTTCAAGGGTCACTGTCAAGTACACATTCCACCTGAGCATGCGCAGCGTGTGTGTGTTTAAAGAGGTTACAGCTAGGACTCTTCTGTTCTGACATCTTGAAGACAGCGGGATTTTCCTTAGCGGATTTTTGCAGCGGTGCGGAAGTTTTGGAAGGACAGGTAGGATGACTATTTTTATGACTATTGGCCAAAATTCAAAGTTTTCACGCTTTAGAGAATAACAAAAGAGAATTAAGAAGGCGGACGGGTCTTTCATTGAAACTTTTGCACTTATGAAACTCAAGTTTTTGTTTTGATTTTTAGTATATCATTTAAAAGGTGCAATACATCAGGCGACGACCCGATCATATGGACTGCACCACTACAAGACATATGACAAAAGTACGAAACAAGAACTTGAACGTCTACAGAAATAACCTGAATTCAGTCAGCTTGTTGACAACGCGTTCCATTCTACTGTAGTTCTCAGTGTAGCCTCTACCAGGCTTCGGGAGGCGGCTGGAAAGAGTAGAAATCGGCCAAATAGAGAGATGCCATGCCGGGGGAGTTGGTCGGGTGCGGCAAATGCACTTCTTCAGCATGTTATCTGTCTACTTGACCGATTTCTACTCTTTCCAGTCGTCTCCCGAAGCCTGGTAGAGGCTATTTTCACCCCAAACCTTGTGTTTGAGTAAGATTACGGTACCCGGCATGTGGGTGCGAAGTTTGCCTTCCCAGCTGCCCGGCTGGACATGTCTGAACCGGGAACAGAAGTTTGCTCCGCATCTAGACGCGAAAATTCGGCACCAATATTGGGTTAAGGGCGCACGGGGGGAACCACCAAGGAAACAGGGGGACCACTAGTCTCTTAGCTGAGGTTTAAACTAATTTTTTACATGAAGACATGAAGTTTTCTTGTGTAGAGGACCTCAAAATGATTGTCGCGAAAATTCGGCCCCAATATTGGCGTAAGGGCGCACGGGGGGAACCACTAGTATCCAAGTTGAGGTTTAGGCTTCGGCTTATTATTATTTTTTTACATATTTATCATGAAGACACACATTTTTCTTGTGTAGAGGAACCTTAAAATGAAATTCGGCACCAATATTGGCTTAAGGTCGCACCGGGGGAACCACTAGACACTGCTATCCTAGCAGAGTTTGGCCTTCGTTCTATTTTGACGTGTTTAGGCGTTTCTATCGGGCCTTTTTAAAGCTTTTCACTTCTTTTTTTGTTTACTGTGTTTTTTTTTCCTTGGCGTAAATTCATTAAAAGAAGTCCGAGTGCGTACCAAAAAAAAAGTTAAAAAGTTAGAGCGTTTTGGCGTTAGTTTTCTGTCAGTGAACCCCCGTGTTTTGATACTTCCAATGATATCAACTCCAACAATAACATTATTCACACACAAGCAGAAAACCAAAAACGTCCTTTGACGCGTTTAGTTGGTATTTTTCTTCAACGATCAACACCGTCAAATATTAAAACCTTAAATCAGATCCAGTGATGAACAAAGTCGTCCTCAACATGCACACCGAACCACTCCCCCTCCCGTTGTTAACGCACTGTCCCCTTAACGTCTCTGCCGTTTCTCTTGCAGTTCTTGAGAGGGAGGAACGTCCTGAAGCCGCCGGCGGAAGGTAAGGAATGTCCTCTCTACATCTTACACAATTCTCAAGACATGTTCTTCCATTCCGGCACATTTCTTACACAACGGTATTTGTTTTCGAACGCGTAACGTTACAGACATAGTGATGACGAATGTTACACGTTACAAAATCATACTCTCAAATGGCCAAACAGAAGTTTAGGCTTTTGGTCAATTTTCTTACGTGTTTTATGCGTTTTAACAGGCTTTCTTGTGTGTACCGGTATCTTTTTTTTCGTCAGTCAAACGTATTGGATACTGCCACCAAAAGATCTGCTTGCAATTGGAAATAGTTGTAGGTGTTTTAGTGACGTTATTAAGAATAGAACCGTTGATCATCTAACGTTACATGACTTTGTGTTGTTCTCCACAATTCTATAAACTCTTAGGGAATAAATTCTAGAGCGTGGCAGGGATTTGGTGGACGGTTTTTTTAGGGAATCTTCTTTTGCCCTGCGATCAGTTGGTCCCTTTCTGTCAACCGCTGGGGAAATGGTTTATCCAATTTTGGCCTACGTTTCTGTTATTTACTTACGCAGCAAGAGAAAAAGCCGAGTCCTTGCGTGTGTAGCGGTGTCGGAGTCCGTGTGTTTGTCCAGTCTGGTCGTGTTTAAATCCGACCGGTTCGGTTTCACAACCTACAAACAGTCCTCCTAATGCTGAGGCACAGCTCTGAGAATCTACGGCGAAAGTTTGCGCAATTCTCTTGATATAAAAAAGAAAATATGTTTTGTGTTTCGTATTAAGGCATATCTTTATGGGGGCCTGCAAGGGGGGGGGGTCCCGACAACGCTCTACGCTGAATTCGGAAACCTCTCGATTACGCTTTACGATAAATTCCAAGTGGCTACAACGCATTACGTAGAATTAAAACGCCGAATACGCTCTACGCAAAAATATTAGAGCGGTCCGTCTATGCTCTACGTAGAATTAAAACGGCCGATTACGTTCTACGAAAAAGGGCTTGTGGGCCCCCCTTTATGCACTTGCCATGGTGGCGTTTAAGGTTGACCGTGAGTAACCCCACGCTTGGCCCGATATCTCGCCAATTAAACCCCGATAAAACCTCTTGAGTTAATGACAGGATCTTGGAGGGTTTATAGCGAACTTCGTCTGTGCGTTTGTTTGTGGGAAGCTATCAGTGTACTACTGCAGGGGGTTGGTAAAAAGGGCGTTGCTTTAAACAGTAACGGCCCTAAATTCGCCACTTTTTATCTGGTTCTTATTTTTAAAGGCCAATTTTAAGAGCCAATAGATGTTTTGCGATTACATTATGGGTGGTGTTGTTTGACTTTTTACATACGTGTTACACTTGTATTTATGAAATCTGTCAGACGTTTCAAGTAGTATCCACTACTTTCGTCAGTGACAAACGGAATAGGTATTTATCCACAAACTATGATTTAGTTACCCCAAATATGAACATCAGAAAACATAATCGCAGCCTACAGGTTGACCTCCAGTAACCCCACACGTGGTGACGACTTCGCGCCACATGGCTCGTGACGTCACAGGTCACGTGATATTGTTTACGCCGCCATTTTGGATTTTGGGTTCCAACTTTGTTGTCGTCTGCTATCGTCTGCATGATACCAGAATCGTGCCTAAATCTACACCTGAACGGGTTAGGGATGGTTCTGGATAGTCTTAGTGTATCCAAGAACGTAGATTTGCCCCAGGCACGGTTCTGGATACGCGTGGACTATCCAGAACCGTGCCTGAGCATTGTTCTGGATAAAGCGCGGTTCTGGATACAAAAGCCTCCTTGAGCTGCAAACGTTCGTCAAAATGACGGGTCTATAGTTTGTCAAAGTTTCTCACGTCTCAACACGGAAGACCGGACCAGGTAACGTTATAAATAAAAGCGTGTTATGGTCTAATCTCTACCAGACTAACTACGCTGGCTGTACATAGGAGAATAATTGCCAGGGGAGTTTGGCCGCCTTGTAGGTTTGACTGGCCGGGCAGAGGGAAAGAAACTACCTCCCCGCGGCCGGACTTCCTTGGCCCATTTTACTCTCTTTTACGCCGAATTCTACGATCCGTATTCCCGTAGAAAGGCCTGGTGGAGGCTAGCAATGTTCGGTGAAGCGCTACCAAACATCGCATTTTCTGACATTAATTAGGTGTAATAAGGGAGAATAGAACCCCGTACTGTACTTCGGAGAAGCTTTGAAAATAACTCGCGTATTCGTAATTACAGTATCCCCACACGTGGGCTGATGTTGTGCCAATTAAGCTGCCATAAAAACCTCTTAATTAAAGTTAATGACGGGAACTTGGAGCATTTAATAGCGAACATCTGTGCAGGAAGCTATCAGTGTACTGCACTAAGGGGTGGGGAAAGGGGTGGTTTACTATGTTTACCTTAAACGTATTGTTTTTATCCATTCATCTCTTCTTCATCATTCTTCTATTCCAAAGGAATAACGTCAATGTATTCAAGACCATTATGCACGAAATTTAAACTGTAATTTCCAACACAAGGAATTGGACAAAGTTTTGACTGTAAAACTCTTTGTCAAAGTAAAAGTCTTTGTCAATGAATGAGCAATCACATCATGCAGATGACACACTTGGCTTGTTGAGCAGTGGATCGTAAGTTGCAGAAAATCTGTGGCGTCCCCTGTCTTAAGTGTCTTTGTTGAGGAAAGGTTGTCACCATGCTTATCAACCTGTGGTGTTGGATTACATTATGTGGCAAGTTGCAGGACAAAGTTGGAGGGGCACAATATCTATTTACCTACATACATATCTTTCTACCTCCCTATCTAGCTAGCTAGCTAGCTAGCTGACTGAATAATATAGCTAACAGAAATATTTTTTTTTTGCCAGTTGCCCACCCAGTATTGCTGTAGAGAGTTGTGAAGCATTACTGGGCAGGACTGGCTCCATTACAGCTGTGGTACACGGAGTGCCCAAACCTCATGTTACCTGGCACAGACACCTGGGAAAACTACACACGGACAGGTGAGAACACCTAGTAACACACCTGTACGTCAAATATAGGCTTCAGTAGCACGTCCGTAGAATGTACCTCACCTGCGCGAAACATGGATTTTTCACGGTTTTTGCTGGATGTTTTGCAACAGAATTTTGCCTATTGCAGAAAATGTCTTTTCAGAGACTTTTTCTTGGGAATCGCAGCCACAAGCCATAATTAAAAAATACTCATTAAAAGGTGATTTCTTGGTAAAGTAATAGTCAGCACTATTATCATTGTGTATCCTGACTTAATATAACATTTTGTGACATTAATTTCCACATTTTGACAATTTTTGTACAGGAAGTACCGTGTGCTGTCCCGTGACCATGTGTGCTGTTTGAGGCTGCGCAGAGTGGAGCTGGCAGACGCCGGCGAGTATCTGTGTGTCGCCACCAACCCCAGCGGCCGCGAAACCACACAGGTCATCCTACAGGTCAAAGGTAAGGGTCACCAAACACCCAGGTCATCATACAGGTCAAATTTGAGGGTCACCAAACACCCAGGTCATCTTACAGGTCAAATTTTAGGATCACCAAACACCCAGGTCATCTTACAGGTCAAATTTTAGGGTCACTGACAACCCAGGTCATCTTACAGGTCAAAGGTAAGGGTCACTGATGACCCAGGTCAAAGGTAAGGGTCACTGACAACCCAGGTCAAAGGTAAGGGTTGGTCACCAATCATCCTGGTCATCATCAAGGTCAAAGATACAGGTCACTCAGGGGTTAAAGCGTGGTGCCCTTGACAGCCCCGAGTCTATGTCAGAGGCCGTATCTGAAGGTCTACAGGTGAAAACTGCATCTATGTCTTCTTGACATTGGGAAGTCCGCTCCTCCTGCCAGCTGTGTCAATAAGACATTTCCTCAGGCTTGGCATTCCCTGCAAAAAGATGTCATGTCATGACGTGGATAAACTACCAAACATAAACATGGCGGGAATTCCAGGGTAGAAAAGTTGACTCCGCTTGGAGGAAGGATGACAAATATTCCCCCGGAACAACGTCATAAAGAACTGTTCCTTCCTGGAGAATCCTGTGTGCTAGCTGAGCTGGTGTGTGGGGAAGGAAATGAGAGCAATGTCATCGTACAGGATCTAGCATGTCATAGTTGTGCTTCATCACTGTGCTACATAAAAAGTTGGAAGGGGAAATTTTAAAGATGATTTATTGCAAATTCATGCCCGAGGGCTAATTGCAAGTACGGAACATTTGGTATAATAACAGGCAATCAATGCCCAGAGAAAGATGTTTCTGACTTAGGTAGAAGAGATGCTGTTCCAATAACTTGAATTTAGAACTTATAAATTAGTTCAGTGCCTAGAAGTGGCCATGCACTGAGAAAGTTCGTTAGAAAAAAATAGTGATAGATGAAGAAAACATCTTAAGACCGTGAAATACATTGTTTGGACATCTTAGACCCACCATTGCCAGGACTACACAGTATCAAAACATTGCATCATGTTTACAGTCGCTTCTGTGTCCGTGACTCTGGCTGTTTACAAAGTCTGGCCCCGCTTCTCACACGCTCTTGTTGACAAACAAATATTTACCTACCCAATCTGATCGGCATTTCTTGGAATTCTCGATTTGTAAAGCTATAGACCACTTCTAGGCACAAGTATGTTAAACTTTGGGCCACTGGAAAAGCATCTCTTCTCCCTAATTCTGAAACACCAATACTGAAGACAAGCTGGACTCAGTGAAAGTGTGGAATAACTGACTCAGTTGCTTAATGCAAGGCTAAGAGACCATTTCTAGGCACTGAACTGAGTAAGTATTGTTATCAGCTTTAGAAGAGTGCTTGTGATGGTAACAAATTTAACAAGATCGTGTTGATAATATTTTGAGAACAATGTGCCTCTCTTCACTTTGGAGTGATCTTAGGAAAGAAAAGAAAGGTCTCCCGTGCCCTTATGCAGAACGTAGAGTGGTGCCCATATCCATTTCTGTTAAGCCCTTGGGCGACACACAGTTGTGCAGGGCACTACAGCAGGGGGCTAGTCCGCTGGTAGTGCTGTGTGTTTGACCTTCCCACACTCCTTCTCATATGTGCTGAGTGCTAAGCAGAGAAAGAAGTGTGTACCATTTTTAAAGTCATCTTAGGCCCTTCTAAAAATGCAACCCTTGGCTGTTTTACGATCACTTGATGGGAAACTCTTTAAATGGAAACATGTGAGTTGTTTATGATGTTTACATGCTATAAAAGCATCACCAGCCCTAATTATATCATGAGCAGCAGAAAGAACAAATATAGACCTAACAGTTCACTACACAACTTTTATGAATGAGTTAAAGTTCCCTTGTTCATTTATGGTACCTGCTACATTGTAGCAAAATGTTTGGACCATTCCACTGGGGAAGAAATAATTTCAACATTCTTTTTTTGCATTGCTCTGACCACCCCCGTATTTTCTGTGGGATGTTCCAAATATCCTTTATTGTCTACAACATAATATGTAATATAATTTACTTGAGTTGAAGATTCAATTGAGAAAATTAAGCAAGAAATGAAAGAAGGAAAAAGGATAAAAAGAAAGAAAACATCCCCAAGTTACCCTTTAGTAACCAGCATGTTGACTTATCCTCTTACAAACGACCTCTGAGTGTTCCAAGGTCAAGCACCCTTCAGTCTAGTTTGCCCACCTGTCAATTTTACACACCTGTACATTGCTGTACACAGGTAACGTCCATAAGTACAAATGTCAAACACCCACAATACCCAATACCCCACTACACACCATTGTAACAACCCTTATCACATAATCTATAATATTTTATTGCACAACAGTGTACAACGTACAACATAATGCATCTACAGCAGCTATATAACAACAAAGTTTAACAAACTATCAGACAAATGTACCTAACAGAAGACTATGTAGTATGGGAAAAGAACGACAATTCAGTCAATGGTGGCATTTCTTGTCATTATAGAAGAAACTTTATTGTACAACGTAAAACATGCATTTTTTGCTCTTTATCAAAGCACAATTACTGAGATAAGACAGTGTTTTTCTGAGACAGTATCTGCCCTCCTCTCTGTCCCAGCTTGGCGACTGGCCTGTTTTTTGCGTCAGGGTGACCAGAAATACCCCACTTGAACCTTGTACAGTGTTGTACAGCGTGTACACTCACTCACTTTGTTCTACACTACAGGGGAGCTTAGCTAGTAGCCACTAAAGAAGGCTTCTTGGGCCGTAATATTGCCAACTCTCTTTGTCACTGATTCCCTCTGTCAGTTAAGTAGTTTAGCTCACCTGAAATATCTCTATTACCTCTTCTTTTCTTCCTGTTATCCTCAACTAATCTCGGGGGCCGTCTGTAAGATATTTGATGTTAGTTTTCAACTTTTAACAGGTCATAATAGTTTGATTGGTTTCTTATCTGTACACCAGCTTGTTATGTGATTCTTTCTTGTCTCTTCATTATTCTTACTACCTTATTGATGAAAATGTTACATTTATTTGTATGTGTGAGGAGAGGGCCTTGAGGAAGTATGCTTTACTTATTATGTATGACCATGTTGTGAATAAAACGGCACAAAAATGGTGATCGCAGTGCGGCTGCCAGAAGCCTGGTGTAGGGACTAGCTTGTTAGTGGGTGAGTTTTTGTGTACAAACACTTCACAACTCCTGAGTGTGTGGCTTCGTGTTGCAACATGGTTTCACTGGTACAGACCGGTCGTCTTGGCTCACCTGGTGGCAAGGTAGGTACGCAGTTGGGACTATGTCTTGGATTGGTGTCTCAGAATTCTGGCAAGGCCTTGGGATCGTGTTAAGATGTCTTGGGCTTTGACATGTTCTTGGTTGGTTACATTTTGTATCTTTTACTACTAGTCTTGGTGTACATGTGTGAAGATTAGTCATCCAGGGTAGAAACAGTAAGGCCACACCAATCTAATTTCTTGGTTAATGGATTCGCCGCTTCATTTTTTTTCAGATTGGCAAATAAAAATAAAAATCCAGAATCAACTGCAAAATGCTCAAATTTTGCCCTGAACAGTTGAAAACAGTCCTTTTCATCTAGTTGTTACAGTTATTCCATCTTTCAATGCAATGGTATCATTAAAAGTTCAAAATTCATTGTTTAAATTTTGAACCAGCCTGGTGTGTTGACTTCATGGCTCCTATCGTACCATTTTGGGCCATAATAGGATGCCTAGGCCTGTTTTTATTTTTTATTTTTTCGCCCGCCCGCTCCATTATTTTTCTAGAAAAATCCGTTAACCAAGAAATTAAATTGGTGTGGCCGAAGCTAATACATGTATTTTAGACTTTCCAAACTAGATAAAAGTTTAATAAGCAAACAATTCAGAATAATACCCAAAACGTTTGGTTATCAAACTTTTATCCAATTTTGAAAAGTCTAAAATACTATCTTACTAAGTCTTGGTATAGTTTGTTTATCACCAAGCAGATGTAGGAAAGAAAGATTGGAACATCCTCTCTGTGTGGGAGGAGATATTTTCCATCTCGTTAGACTTTCTAATTGCTCATTAGTGTACAGTGATAAGCTATGATGATGAGTGTATGATGTTGTGATGTGATGCAAACTAATTAACAGATTACATTTCTCATTCTACCTGTAACGTATCGGTGAGGAGGTAAAAAACAGGCTGTTCAACGTTTTACTAAAATGTTCCCTCTGTGCCTTCTCAGACCCGCCTCCTGTCATGACGTCAGAGTCGTCCCCCCGCTCGGCGTTTAAAACCTTCGGCGATGGGGACAAACCGGAGACAGAGGTGAAGAAGACGCCGTTCGGAGTCCTGAGGAAGATCATCACCAGGGGAACTCCTCTGCTCAGGAGACAGGTCAGATCTGGGAGAATGGTTCAGCTTTCTTTCCACTGACGAATTTGTATTTATTGGCAAGGATACATGATTGTACCTGTGATCGACATTACTTGGGTCAGCACAGGAAGACTCAGCTTGTAAAGGCTGACCCACAAATAGTAGTTGTCATTCAAAACGAATTAGTAAATTAAAATCGAAGTTAGTATACAAATCCTGCAATAAATGGAGTAAATGATTCAGTGCAGCATACACTACAAGGTAAAGCTTGATAGATAATATAATGTAAGAAAATAAGGCTAAAATCATTATTAAACCAGCAAAATTTAGCTTGACAGGATATGTATGTATGACGTATTACTGGGTATAAAGTACAATAGATGGAAGTCTTTTGTTCTATAACCCTAACCCTATCCCCTCCAGGATGGAAATTCCATTTTGATGCATTTCATTTCATTCTACTCTGTTTCACACTTTCTATCCACCCCTGCAGGATGCCCAGGACCAGGAGTCTCCACTGTTTGAGCGTGACCTGTCGGACCAGGAGGCTGAGGAAGGTCGCGAGGCGCGGTTCCGCTGCGTGGTGTCGGGTTACCCGGAACCCTCCGTCTCGTGGCGTAAAGACGGGCGTGACGTCACACACAATCGCAACTACATCACGGAGAGGGACGGGCGCGGAGACTGCTCATTGGTGGTTCCCACGGTGACCAGGGAGGACCAGGGGGAGTTCTGCTGCGTGGCCAAGAACGAGGCGGGGAAGGCAAGGTCGTCAGGTCGGCTTAAGGTCAAACCTCAAGGTGATTCATCCGTCTTTTCCTGGTCATCGTTAGCTTTAAAAAATTTCTGTAGAAATGTTGAGAAGATATTCGAAGCAAAGAACCTTTAATTTTGTTTGTTTGAAGTTGAACCATTCTTTATTCATAAAAAGCTGAAATCGGCCTGCAGGCCACTTTCCAGTCACAACTTTTTACAAAACATAACATTGTTATAGCTTGTTGCCTCCTTTTGATTTTCAACAGAACTGCATATGATTGACTTTAAGATTAGATGAATAAATATGTATAAATTGTAAGTGGTATCAAGTTTGTTTTGCTTATTGTTTGTTTGTTATTGTTTGTTTACAGCAGGTTCCATGATGCCAAACGCGTTTGACACAGACATCACCCGAGTGCTCAGTCGGATGCAGGCCGCATCGCTTTCTACCCAGGAGGTCGACCCTGTAGACGCCAAGGCACCAAGGTCAGGAATCTTCTCTCTTTAGATCTTCCTATGTAGACTTAGGGGATCCCGAGTCTTAAAGAAATGATGGAGGACAAAAAGATGTGCAAGCTGACATATTGTCTTTGACTTAATTTGTATCCAAAATTACCTATTCTTCCTCCATTTCCTCTTCTTCCCTTCCAAAAAAAAACTAAGGTCAATGACCTGGACCAGACGTCTGTCACCATGGTTACTGCCGTAGCAGACACCCTGTGGTGTTGGATTACATTTACTAGCATGTAGCAAGCTGACAGGATAGCTTTGAAGGGCTCACCAAATGAATATGTTATGTAAGAATAAGCAGAGCAGTACATTGTAGCTTGTTGGGTTAGACCATGTGAAGGTAAACATTCTCCATTTGCTTTGCAAATTCGTCTGTGACATTGTCCCACAGGTTTGATCGTAAGATCACAGACACAGAAGCACGGGAGGGCGGCCGGGCCAAGTTCAGATGCAAGGTCACAGGGAACCCCCCTCCTCAGGTCAGCACTTGGACTCTTCCAATTAAGATGTTTCTGAGTGTAGTTTTGATATACATGTGGTAACCTTTGCATGTAGTTTTAAATTTCTCTAATAGTATATGCTCATACCTCTAATAAATAGTATATGCTCATACAATATACAGTGTGTAATACATATATATATGTTTTGTTCAGAGTTTCCCACCATGTACAAAAGTCCTTCTAGAATATATCTCAACATCAAGATATGCCCAAAACAGTTGCCCAAGCAAGTGGATATGATTTTGGAAACGGGCAGACGTTTCATGAACGTAGCATCCACTACCTTTTGTGAGTGACACTCAGAGACGAAAGGTAGTGGATGCTACCTGAAACATCTGACCATTTTTAAAATCATATCCACTTGCTTGAGTAACTGTTTTTTGGCGTATCTTATTACTTGGATGTCTAAACTTCATCAACCCAACACCATGATATTTCCAGGTTTTGTGGTACAAGAACGGACAGCCGATCCCCACCAACAGTAACAAGTACGTGACCATCCACGACGCGGACGGAACCTGCGCTCTCCTCGTGCTGAAGGTTGATGATGATGATGATGCAGAGTACGTCTGTAAAGCGACAAACTGTGCCGGCGCCGCCGTGTGTAGTGCTGAGCTCATCGTCGAGTTAGGTAAGACACTTTTCAGCTGTCACTATGGTAACTGGTGCTGTAGCAGATACCCTGTGGTGTTGGGTTACATCATGTAGTACGTCTGTAAAGCGACAAACTGCGCCGGCGCCGCTGTGTGTAGTGCTGAGCTCATTGTCGAGCTGGGTAAGACAGTTTCACTCAAACGTATGAGGATACTTTCACACAAGAAATGAAGTATTGTGGATAGATCAGTCGCAAGGTTTTTCAATGTGTTTATCTTTACAGAAGGAAAACATAATTTGTTTTTGCTCTGTTTCCTTAACTTCTGTTTCAAACAGATAAGGTCACTGACCTGGACCAGGCATCTGTACCTGGTGCTGTAGCAGATACTGTGGTGTTGGGTTACATTATGTAGCAAGTTAGAGGGGTTCACTTTTCACTTTCACTTCAACATATAAGGATACTTTTACACAACTGATGAAGTAGATAGATAGATAGTTCTTTTCATAATGTTTAAGGAAAAGTTTTTGCTTGGTTTCCTCTCTTTTCACTCCAAACAAGTAAGGTCAGTAAGGCCGGACAATATTGGGCCCCGCCTACACTTCCTACCCAGAGGCATGCATAGTACTCGACCTGCCGACCCTAGAGAACCGCCGCCGCCAGCTGTGCTACAACTTCGCTACACGACTGCTGCATTCAGAGACTTTTAGAGACTGGTTACCCCCATACCGCAGCGAGATCAGTGCCAGAACAACAAGATCATCGCATCTACTTGACTCTGTTAAAGCACGTACGATCAGATACCAAAAAAGTCCTATCCCCTATATGACAACCCTCCTGAACGAGCAGGACACATAAGCCAACACTGTGTATTTTATTATATGACGCCCCTTGTTTATAAGTACTTAGTATAAATCCTATATGAATAATAAATATTTTTATAATTCGATTTTAATAATTATTATTCGATATAGTACATGAATGTCCATCTTTTAACCAACGCATTTTACTAGTTTCATTATACATTGTACACTTACATAAATTGTAGTTGTAATTCATAATTTTTAACCTTCAGTATAATTGTTATAAGTCCATGATAATGTATGTATGTACTGTTACCATAATTCAGTCTTAGGACTGCAAGTGTGACATCTATGAGTGGAACTTCAAACTTCAAATAAACCATTCTAAAAAAAGGTCAATGACCTGGACCAGACGTCTGTCACCATGCCAACTGGTGCTGTCGCAGACACCATGGGGTGTTGAGTTACATCATGTAGCAAGTTGTGGGGTAGAGTTGGAGAAGCTTTGTATGAAATGTGTTTGAGGAAGAATAAACAGAGCAGTAGGTGCTCAGTTAATTGTTAAGTATGAGATGGGCAAAAACAAATCAGTTTGCTGTATCTTGTAATATTTTGTTTTACTTTCAGCATCTGATGGCAGAGACACAGACACAGAGGAGAGCACCCCCATGCGAAGGTCTCCCATCTCTGCATTCCACCCCCTGTCCCCCCGACGCACCCCCCTCCCCTCCAGGGGGCCCCCCCTCCCGACCATAACTCCAGTGGAGGCAGGGTATGAGGCATCTATGGACTCATCAGGTAAGCAGTAGACACATATCCTTACACCTACTTGACAGTGTAATACTACATAGTACACATCTGGTGGCGTCTGTGTGGTGTAGTGGATAGAGCGTCCAACTGTCAAACAAGGAGACCCAGGTTCAATCCCCAGGGTTGGACCCAGACATGTCCGGACATGCACCCAGACGTTGTGCTCTTGGGAAAGGAACCTTGGAAATTTATCTTTAATCACAGGTGTAATGCCCATGTGTACAGGAACATGAAGATCAGATGTTAAAACTTAACACAAAGTATCCTTACAGATGAATCACATGTATCAGGTATACATTGTATGCTTTTGTGGCTTGTCAATTGCAGATCAGAGTTACATTCAATTTGCTGATTTACAACCAAGAATATTTAACATTCTTGCAATATTGTATTATCATTATGTAAAAAGTCACCTTATTCTCCTGACAGCTGCCCAAGACAGTGACATCGCAGATGAGCTGATCTTCCCGGTTATCCTCGAAACCGGACCGTTCGTGTCCGTCCAGGAGCCGACTGACAGTAGTTCTCTGTCCCGTCCGGACTCCGCTTCCTCCGCCGCCTCCCTCAACACCCTCGTCATCCGCAAAACCAGCCCCAGCCCCTCCGAATACTCCCACAGACTCTCTCCTCTCGGTTTACGGGACACGTCTGACTCTTTCGTGTCCACAGACACACTCGCTGTGCGGGGAAAGGTGTGTGGAATTAAGGATTAATAGAATTTACGGAATGTGATTTTTTGGGCTTATTGTACTAAAATTATAGTAGGTATTTGTTACTAATTTTTTGTATTAGTTGCCGACATTGCTATCCTGTTTAAATAATGGTCATTCCTACCTTCCTTCCTTCCTCCTTCCTTCCTCCTTCCTTCCTTCCTTCCTTCCTTCCTTCCTTCCTTCCTTCCTTCACTCATTCACTCATTCATTCACTCATTCATTCACTCATTCATTCACTCATTCATTCATCATTCATTCACTCATTCATTCACTCATTCATTCACTCATTCATTCACTCATTCATTCACTCATTCAGGGTAGCACCAAGTCCAGCAGAAGTCCCAGTCCGAAATCACGACATCGTCTCTCGCCGAAAGCGTTCTCAGATCTTGACGAAGAAA